GGGAGCCTGCTTCTCCCTCTGCCTCTCTCTTTGTCTCTTATGAATAAATAAATAAAATCTTTAAAAAAAAATAATACTACATTGTATATTTGAAATGTGCTGAGAGAGTAGATCTTAAGAGATCTTAGTGTTCTCATCACATACACACAAAAAAGTAACTACGTGAGGTGATGGACGTGTTATTTACTTGATTATGGTAATCATTTCACAATGTATATGTATACCAAATCATGTTGTACACCTTAAATATATACAATATACACAATTTTATTTGTCAATTATATCTCAATAAAGCTGGATGAAATAATATAATTTGACATAAACCATTTTCCTATGGATATATGCATATCCTATGACCCAGCTTCTTCATTTCTAGGAATCTATCCTATAAAAATATTTACACAGATGTGCAAGAATTAATGAATAAGAATGTTCTTTGTAGCATTATTTGTTATAGCAAAAATTTTAGAGGTGATTTCACCATTAATCAATATGCGCCAATTAAAATGTATATAACAAATAGCCAGGAAGAATACCTACCAGATTATTAACAGTGTTTACCATGAGGAATTATATAGAAAGATTAGGGTGAAGAGGTCATTTTCATTTTGTAATTTCTAAACTTCCAAAAGCTAAAAATACTAAATTAAAACAAAAAAACTTAACTTCACATATGAAACTTTTTCATGTATTTGTAATTATCACCAAGATATTCAATGTAGGCTTATATTTTTTCAATGTAAAAATTAATGAGCAGTGTTGTTGGAGTGGGGGGTGGGGTGGGAGGGATGGGGTGACTGGGTGATAGACACTGGGGAGGGTACGTGCTCTGTTAAGCGCTGTGAATTGTGCAGGACTGTTGAGTCTCAGATCTGTACCTCTGAGACAAATAATGCAAGATATGTTAAGGAAAAAAAAGAAGAAGAAGAAGGTAGCGGGAGGGGAGGAATGAAGCGGGGGAAATCGGAGGGGTGGACGAACCATGAGAGAAGATGGACTCTGAAAAACAAACTGAGGGTTCTAAAGGGGAGGGGGGTGGGAGGATGGGTTGGCCTGGTGGTGGGTATTGAGGAGGGCACGTTCTGCATGGAGCACTGGGTGTTGTGCACGAACAATGAATCATGGAACACTTCATCTAGAACTAATGATGTAATGTATGGGGATTAACATAAGAATAAAAAAAAATAAAAAAAAAATTAATGAGCAAAAATTTAAACTAACATATATCATCTAAAATTGGTTGTATGGCCACTAATCGCAAAGCAGCAGAAAGAGAAGTTAAGAAAACAATCCCATTTAAATCACACCAAAAATAATAAAATACCAGGAATAAACTTAACCAAGGAGGTAAAAGACCTGTATTCTGAAAACAATAAAACACTGGTGGAAGAATTTGAAGACAATACAAACAAATGGAAAGACATTCCATGCTCATGGATTAGAAGAACAAATATTGTTAAAATGTCCATATTACCCAAAGCAATCTACAGATTTAATGCAATTCCTATCAAAATACCAACAGCATTTTTCATAGAACTAGAACTAATAGTCCTAAACTTTGTATGGAGCCACAAAAGACTCCAAATAGCCAAATCAATCTTGAAAAAGAAAAACAAAGCTGGAGATATCATAATTTCAGATTTCAAGTTATATTACAAAGCTGTAGTAATCAAAACAGTATGGTACTGGCACAAAAATAGACACATACAGATCAATGGAACAGAATAGAAAACCCAGAAATGAACACACAAATATATGGTCAATTAATCTTCAACAAAGCAGACAAGAATATGCAATAGCAAAAAGTCTCTTCAACAAATAGTGTTGGAACTGGACAGCAACATGCAAAAGAATGAAACTGGACCACTTTCTTACACCATACACAAAAATAAACTCAAAATGGATTAAGAACTTAAATGTGAGACCTGAAACCATAAGAATCCTAATAAAGAGCACAGGCAATAATTTCTCTGACATCAGCCATAGCAACACCTTTCTAGATATATTTCCTCAGACAAGGGAAACAAAAATAAAAATAAGCTATTGGAACTATATCAAAATAAAAAGATGGCTGGAACAGCGAAGGAAAGAATCAACAAAACAAAAATACGACCTACTGAATGGGAGAAGGGATTTGTAAATGCATATCCAATAAAGGGTTAGTATCCAAAATATATAAAGAACTTATACAACTCAACACCAGAAAAACAAATAATCCAAACAAATTTAAAAATAGGCAGAAGACATGAACAGACATTTCTCCAAAGAAGACATACAGATGGCCAACAGACACATGAAAAGATGCTCAACATCACTCATCATCAGGGAAATACAAATCAAAACCACAATGAGATATCATCTCACACCTATGAGAATGTCTAAATTCAAAAACACAAGAAATAAAAAGCATTGGCGATGATGTGACTAAAAAGGAAACTTCATGCAATGTTGTTGGCAATGCAAACTGGTGCAGCCACTGTGGAAAACCATATGGAGTTTCCTCAAAAAATTAAAAATAGAACTACCATATGATCCAGTAATCACACTACTATAAAGAATATGAAAACATTAATGCAAAGGCATATATGCATCCCTATATTTATTGCATTATTTACAATAGCCAAATTATGGAAGCAGCTCACATGTCCATCAACAGATGAATGGACAAAGAAGATGTGGTATATATATACAATGGAATATTATTCAGCCATAAAAAGAATGAAATCTTGCCATTTGCAAAAACATGGATGGAGCTAGAGAGTAGAATGCTAAGTGAAATAAGCCAGTCAGAGGAACACAAATACCATATGATTTCATTCATATGCGGAATTTAAGAAAGAAAACAAATGAACAAAGTGGGGAGAAAAGGACAAACCAAGAAACAGATCCTTAACTTTAGAGAACAAACTGGTGGTTACCAGAGGAAAGGTGGACGGGAGGTAGGTGAAACAGGTGAAGGGTATTAAGAGTACACTTATCTTGATGAGCACTAAGTAATATATGGAATTGTTGAATCACTATATTGTACACCTGAAATCAATATAACACCATATGTTAACAACACTGGAATTAAAATGAAATAAAAACAAATATGATAGTTTAGACTTTCATCTTTCTATCCTTCAGTTTCCCCAATGGTAAATCCAGGTAATTGGAAGAAGCTACATCTAATGTCTTGAATACCTAAAGTTCTACAGTTTTATTGCTTTGGATTTCTAATAACAATATTACCTAAAAACCTTAAAAATTTCACATTCTTTGACCTAGCAATTTCAACTTTAGCTATCTTTTGTCTGATGGGAAAGAAAACACTGCTTGTAACTGTAAGAATATTAGAAATAATTTATATTTATATAGATTTTTTGTTATATAGGTTATTTTTCAAAACAATTTGTTTTCATTTTTTGATCTGTCCCACAGAATAACTCACAGTCATTTAAAAGGGAGCTATACTTAGATCTATACTTACTTACATGGAAAGTTGACTAACATATATTGTTAACAGAAAAAGGTAACAAAACTGTATGCATATAAGTCCATATATATTTTTTAAATTATGTGTTCATGCATGTGTATATACCATATTTACACACACACAAACACACACACTCATATGCTTAGAAAAATCCTAGAAAAATACACGCAAAAATACCAAAGTTCAGCTCTATGTAGTGTGATTACACATAAGTTTTATTTTCTTCTTTATATTCTCCTGTGCTTCCAGAGAATGAAGTTATTTCCACTTTGAATAATTATTTTAATATAAATCTCAAAAAAATCATCAAGAAAATTAACATATGGAGAAATAAACATGTCAGAAAAAATAGATCTGCCAAGAAAATTAACATATGGATAAATAAACATGTCAGAAAGAATAGAGCTGCTTCTTAACCTTTCTAAAAGTTTGATTTATTTTTATCATTTTATTTTTATACCCTCTGAAAGCTGTCTACAATAGACACTCAAAAAATGTTGGGATGACTTGGATAGATGGACAGATGGATACCTACACAGTATTGCAACTTGTCAATTCAATACTATTAGATTGCTTAGTAACATTCTATTGGTGGTCCATACCTCTCCTAGGATTTTCCATCTACAAATCTTCTATAATAATAAACCCACAGCTTATATTTGAGCAGCTTGATGCTTTCAACCTTAGAGTATTACTTTGCATTTATGTGTACTGAATTTATTTTATTTCTGGCCACCCCTTCAACTTATCTATGCCATTTTTATTCTAAACTTGTCTCTCCTCCTTAACAAGGAGGAATGGTCTTGGAATGGTCTATAAATGTAATCAGTTCCCTATTATCTACTTCTTTGATTAAAGTATTGGACACCGACTACAAAAGAATAATTATTTTCTAGGTGATTTCAAATGAAATTATTAGGATTTTTATTTACATTTCCTTGGCTACTGATGATGGAACATATTTTTATATGATTATTGGCTATACATATTTTCTTTTATGTGTAATACTTGTCCATGTGTCTTACCCATTTTTCTATTCTATTATTACTGATTTGTATGAGTTCTTTACACATTCTGTAAATTAATTCTTCGCCAGTTCTGTGAATTGCAAATATTTCCAAGTTTGTAACTTGTCTTTTTACTTTAAGGTGTCTTGATAAATAAAAGTTCTTAATTTTATATTAATTTTTATAATAATTTTGTATTAATCTGTTTTTATACTCAAACATTTTTGCCTTAAGAAACTTTCCCTATCCCATTCCTATCCCATGTAATTAGCAAAAATCAAAAGTCTAAAAATACCAAATGTTGACGAAAGTATGTCATAATCCAATCCAGTAATTAACAATCCAATTATGTACCTGAGGCCCAATTTTTAATATCATTATCATAAATGTGCAAAAAAACAGTTTTTATAACATATTATAATGCTTAGCTTTCCTATAATTTGCAATTAATCTAACCAACATATAACTTATATCTATGTTTGCAGATCTTAAACTAATAATGAAAACATAAAACTTACCATCAATATCAATAGTCTTTAGTGCCTTTCGCATTTCTGAATCACTTATAGAAATCTTCAAGGTATGATGGATCATTGGCAGATCATTCACATAAATCTTACCACTTTGAATTTTGCTGAAAATTTTACAGGCCTTCTGAAGTGCTAAACACACACACCAAAACAGTTAATTCAAATGAATAATTATCCTTATCCCTGATACACCCTCTCTCAAGGAAAAACAACAATAATCACTAAAAGAAGAAAGAGGAGCAAATCTTTGTGTTCTAATCCTTTGCTTTAAAATGGATCTTGTGACTTATTTAGGTCTGTCTAGGGTGAATGGCCTCTAAATCTGTTCTAAAGGACTCTCAGAAACTGTGAGAAAGTCATGCAAAATTCACATCGTAAAGGCTTCCACAACTTTACCTAGGAATGTTAAATCCTTCTTCCATGCTCCCATACCACTTGGTATGTATCTAAGTCAAAGCTCTTGGTATTGTGACTGTTTGCATGTTAATATTCCTCACTAAACTGTCAACTTTTAGGGGGCAAGATTTTTCATTCTTCAAGTGCCAGTGTCTAATTCAGGATAGATCCTCAAAAAATGTCTGCTGAGTTGAATTTAGTTCAGTGGATAAAACATGTAATTTTCAGAAAAACAGGTGCTGGATGACAGGGCTAAATACCAGAGAAAGACTAAAATATTGATAATAATGATTTTAATAATAGGAGTTTTAATAGAGTATTGGAGATGGAAACCAGGTTTCAGTGTTATGGGAAGTAAATAAATAATTAAGGAAAACAACTCTGAAGAAGCTTCTTTGAAAAGCAGAGTATAAAACTGACATAGTCCTGGGGCACCTAGGTGGCTCAGTCAGTTAAGTGTCCGACTCTTGGTTTCTGCTCAGTTCATGATCTCAGGGTTGTGAGACATAGCCCTGCATTGGCTCCATGCTCAGCAGGGTATCTGCTTGAGATTCTCTCTCTCCCTTTCCCTTTGCGCCTCCCCCTGCTCTCTCTCTCTCAAATAAATAAATATATCTTAAAAATTTTATATAGTCCCTGAGGAAGCAGAAGAAAACTGCAGGAAAGAAAATCAAGAGTGAAGGGATTAGTCTCATGAAAGGGCATTTTCTCCAATGAGACAAAAGGGAAGGCCATGGATGTTGTTTACAATCCTAAGAGTTCTCCCCACAAGGAAAAATGTTTTCCTTTTTTTCTGTATTTACATGAGATGACAGATATTAACTAAACTTACTGTGGTAATCATTTCACAATGTATGTAAGTCAAGTCATTATGCTGCATACCTTAAACGTATACAGGGCTACATCTTAATTATATCCCAATAAAACTGGGGGACAAAAGATGCCTAGTATAAGGGCTCCTGCCTGGCTCAGTTACTAGAACATGCAACATCTTGAGGTTGTGAGTTTGAGCCCCAAATTGGGCATAGAGATTACTTAAAAAAAAATGTCTAATATGATGACCAAAGTTAAGGTAAGTGGAAAAATATGCCAAATGACTCTATAAATATAGAGGAGAGGCCCAAGATATGGGAGAACTCAGTATCAAGAAGTGAAGGGTACTATGATTCTTAATATTAAGATACCAAGAACTAAATCCCAGTAAAATCAGTGACTCCAGTGCTTACTAATATATTCATTGGGTGTAATATCCAGACTTTTTTCCCAAAAAATTTGAACTAGAATAAGCACATATATTATTATTTTGCCTATCTCATCAATACAACAAGAAGATATTCATGAATACTTAGTTTAGTTTACTTATGCCTTGCTCACGGCATTTGCCATATCATGTAATATTAGTTGATATCATATGCCATTAGGAGTAAAGAGATACTAACCACTGAAACAATTCTTAATAAAGCACACAATCAGGAAATTAATTCAAGAAATTCTAGAATTTATTACCACTTAATTCTTGTGAGTATAAGTCTCCTTGAGGTACTTGATTATAGAATGTCTTGTAGAGGCTAGAAATCATTTCCCTTTTCCTGTCAAAGAAACAGCCACATTAGAAAGCAGCACAAAAACAAAACAAAACACCATACACACACACACACACACACAATATTTATGCCATTTTTCCATTAAAATATTAACAAACCTATCCACTACATCAAAAACTAATGATGTATTGTATGGTGACTAACATAACATAATTAAATTCAATTAAATTTAAAAACAAAAACAAAAATAAAAACAAACCTATCAATGGATTGAGATTCTCCAGTGTCTTACTCCACAAAAACCTTTCTTAAAGAACTGTCCAAGTGATAGTGAATTATATATTCTTTACCCCAGAATTCCCACCTTGCTTCTTTCTGCTCTATGGAGCAGAATTTATCCTAGTCAGTAAGTAGTGGCCGTGACCCACAATCCTTTGGCTGTGGTCCAATTATTGCTACCCTTAATTCAAGTCACAGCAAATTTTTAGAAAGTTATTATAGGAAGGAAAAACAAGAATATCTTTAAACAGCAAAGAATCCCAGGTTCCACAACCTGTCAGTAGAAACAATTTGAAAAGATGATTTATCTAATCCCATAACACGTAAATAACTGAAATCATAAAATGTTAGTGTTAGAAGAAATCTCCAGAGTCCATCTAGTACAAGATTCTTGTACAGATGTGGAGACTGAGGCCCAGAGATATAAAGTGAATTGTACAAGAGCCTAAGCTAGCATGTGAGGTCAATAAATACTCAATTCTAAGTGTTTCATTTCCATATACAGTGGGCTCAGCTCTACACCATCCTTCCTAAGAGCAGAGTCTTACTTTGCACAAACTACTTTGCATACTTTATGTGGAAAGAATAGATGATTCCAAAAAGAAAAACCCAAGTCTGAATGCAACATTTAGGGTAAAAAATACGATGACTTAAATACCGAATAATTGAGGAAGATGTACAAAAGGGTGATAAAGTCTTATGAACACTGTACTGATTCGGCAACTTGAATAAAGAGTTTTCTTCCCTAGTCATCTTCTCCTTCGACAGCTTCACTGAGGAAGAGGCAATCTAGAGCCAAATACAAGAACGTTGGTGACTGAGATCACGTTGGTAAACCAGCATTATTGGACAATAAACCTGTTATAAGATAGGCTCCTCATATCATATCTAGGCTCCTCACTGATGTAAAATTGCTTTTCGTAAGGAAATTAGTTTACATATACTAAAATTTGAAATAAACTATAAAATTTTTTTTTGCAAAGCCACATTTTTCTAAATATGCAACTAAATCATCTCCTAATTAATATTAATATTGTGTCAATTTATAATAATGGATTTTACAAAGCAGGGCAAATCTATGGTACAGTGAAGACAAGACCACCAGATTCTGGCTATATATACAGGCTTTGACTATATGAGCAAAATAATGTAAAGAAGCAAAACAGTTATTCAAATAAAACAGGTAGTGGGACACCTGGGTGGTTCAGTCAGTTAAGCGGCTGCCTTCGGCTCAGGTCATGATCCCAGGGGTCTTGGGATTGAGTCCTGCATAGGGCTCCCTGCTCAGCGGGAAGCCTGCTTCTCCCTCTGTCTGCTGCTCCCCCTGCTTCTACTCTCTCTCTCACACATAAATAAGTACACAAAAATCTTAAAAAAAAAAATAACACAGGTAGTTATGTTTTAAATTATCCTTATGATTGAGAAAATGATCCACCTGACATGTATGTATAAACATGATTCAAAAGTGGCAAGTAGCTAGGTAGATAGAAAAGCGTCACTTTAGAAAATGAGGACTAGGGGCGCCTGGGTGGCTCAGTCGGTTAAGCGTCTGCCTTTGGCTCAGGTTGTGATCCCAGGGTCCCGGGATCGAGCCCCGCATTGGGCTCCCTGTTCCGCTGGAAGCCTCCTTCTCCCTCTCCCACTCCCCCTGCTTGTGTTCCCTCCCTCACTGTCTCTCTCTTTCTGTCAAATAAATAAACAAAATCTTAAAAAAAAAAAAAAAAAGAAAGACAAGAAAATGAGGACTATAATATTAGGTGTCTTCAATTTTACATGGAATCTAGAGCCTTGTCTTTTAAAGACCATGCAGGATGTAGAAAGAAGACTCTGAAGCCATACAAGATTGGTAAGAATTGGTACTGAGATCCCACATAGAGCCAAAATTTTCAAAAGGCATTGTTACCAGCAAGAATAGGCTAGGGGAAAAGAAAAAAAAGCAAAAAAACCAAACCAAAACAATTTATCCCCCAATAAAAGAAGCATGCAGAGTAAAATCTGTCATTGTCTCAGCTCTTGGCTGGAAAAAAGAAAGAGAGAGAGAGAGAGAAGAGAGAGTACTACTCTTGATTAGTTATAATTATAGCTCCACCCACAAATAAGTGTAGAACTCAAATCTACACTAAATACATGGGCTAGGAAAATAGAAACCAAAAAATTCATTTAAAGTGGTCCCATGTTTGTAACAGCTCTGAAGTGCAGAGCAGAAGCGAATTCAAATTCTCCTGCAGGAGGGTACTCTAAATCCAGAGTCATCATGAGATTCCCACAGATTTAGATCAAATGTATAGTTTGATATATAGGATATAGGGATATAAGTTAATGAGTGAGAATCAGACAAAGCAATAAACAGATTTAGATCCCAAGGACTTTATATTAGGTTTATCAGATATCAATCTTGAAACAACTATGGAACATGAACAAAGAACATGACAGAAGGCAGATTATAAGAAAAACCAAATAAAATGTCTAGAAGTAAAAAATATAAGCAATGAAATTAAAATCTCAATAGACAGGTTAAACTGCAGATTAGATTCAGCTAGAGAAAGAAAAACTAGAAAACAGATGGGAGAAATTATCCAGACAAAAGAGAGTGTATCTAAGTACATCATATAGTGAGTGTAATAGGTTGAATGACAGCCCCACAAAAAGATATGTCCATATCCTAATTCTTGGAACCTATATATGTGACTTTATTTGGTAAAAGGTCTTTGCAAATGGAACAAAGTCAAGGATCTCAAGATGAGATCTACAGTGATGTGCTTATAGAAGTAGAAGGAGACCTGAGATACAGACACAGGTAAGAAGACCATATACGGAGCAAGATGGAGGCCAAGACTGAATTTATGCTGCCACAGCCAAGGAATGCCTAGGGTCATTGTTATAACAGCAGAAGTATTAACAGAGAGCACAGTAATAAAAATAAAGATCTAATGGAGGAAAAGGGGGAAAATGTCATATTCTTCTGAAAGGGTTCCTTGTTATATTAAAAAAAAAAAAAAGGAAAGGAAGAAGAAGAAAAGGAGGAAAGGGGGAGGAGGGGGAGAGGGAAGAAGAGGAAGAGGAAATATTTAAGACTGTGACATTTCAATACTTGAACTAAAATGTGATGGAATGTTTGAAAGCTAAAAACAACACTCAAAAGTAAAATAAATATTTCCAGATCATTATTTACCTCAGTTCTTTTAGTATGCAATTGTCCTTGAAAACTTTTCTTTCTCTTGATCTTTTTTTCTCCTGAAAAATCAGAGGATTTTTCTTCTCCACACAGGAATATTGTTGTTTCATTCCTAAATTGCACAGAAAATTGGAATAATTCCTGAATTGCTTTTTTTCTTACTTTTTGTTTTTTCATCTTTTATTTGCAGAATTTTCAAACATATACAAAAGTAGAGTAATTGATGATCTTCCCATGTACCCATCACCCAGCTTCAATAATGGGCAATCCTATTTCATCCATATCCCTATCCCTACTTCCATTTCTTATTATTTTGAAGCAAATTCCAACGTTATATTATTTCATGTGTAAAGATTTTAGTATGAATTTCTACAAGGTGTTTTTTCTTTTAAAAATATATTTGAAACACAATTACGATATCCAAAAAATTAATAATAATTTCTTAATATTATCAAACATAGTGTTCAAATTTCCAACTGTTTCATAAATGTCAACATTTTTTAACACTTTGCATCAGGATTCAATAAGGTCCCCATTACAGTTTGTTGATGTGTCTTTTTTTTTTTAAGCTTTTATTTATTTGACAGAAAGAGAGAGACAGCGAGAGAGGGAACATAAGCAGGGGGAGTGGGAGAGGGAGAAGCAGGCTTCCTGCTGAGCAGGGAGCCCAATATGGGGCTCAATCCCAGGACCCTGGGATCATGACCTGAGCCAAAGACAGATGCTTAACCGACTGAACCACCCAGGCGCCCCTGTTGATGTGTCTTTTAAATCTCCATTTATCTATAGGCTCTCCTACCATGTCTTTTATCATCATGATCATCATCATGATCATGATCATCATCATCATTATTCTCAGGCAATTTGTCTTATAGATTTTCCAGTCTGGATTTTGCTAATTGTATTACCATGGTTGTAGGATTTTTTTTCAAGATTTTATTTATTTAGTTGTCAGAGAGAGAGAGAGAGAGCACAGGCAGGGGGAGCGGCAGGCAGAGGGAGAAGCAGGCTCCCCACTGAGGAAGGAGACCCATGTGGGATCATGACCAGAGCCAAAGGCAGACGCTTAACTGACTAAGCCACCCAGGCATCCCTGGTTGTAGGATTTTAAAGACTTAATCGGATTAACATTTTTTGTTTGTTTTTTTCGGCAAAACCACTATACAGATGCCGGTGCTTTCCACTGGGAGGCATATAATGTACAAGTGGTTCTCTAACTGTGGTATTAGCTGCTATATTTATACATAATAACTAGACTCAGCAAATCATCAGGGACTATAAAATATTTATACCTAAATCTATCATTCCTTCTTCACTCATTAGCTAGAATTTTTTTTTTTAAAGATTTTGTTTATTATTTGACAGAGAGAGACACAGCGAGAGAGGGAACACAAGCAGGGGGAGTGGGAAAGGGAGAAGCAGGCTTCCTGTTGAGCAGGGAGCCCGAGGTGGGGCTCGATCCCAGGACCCTGGGATCATGACCTGAGCCAAAGGCAGATGCTTAACGACTGAGCCACCCAGGCACCCCAGCTAGAATATTTCTTTAAAGAAAAACTTCCTCTTGGGAACTATTTGGTTACTCAGTGGTATAGTTCATACAGAAAGGCAGGATAATTACTTTATTCTTTTCCTTATTTGCCACTTTTCATAACACTGACTTGGCTCACTTGTAACCTCCAATAGTGACAAAATAATTTTTATATCATTTTGTACACTTGGATTTATATACATTAAATTCATCTTACTTCCTTGTAATTATTATCCTTATTGATACCCTAATTATCACATGTATAGTGGGAGTCTCTTCAAGTAGGCTCTTGAGTCCTTTTGATGCATCCCTGGTAGGAGTCTTTGTTAGTTTCCTTATTTCTGTAACACCAGATGCTCCAGGCTCATCTATACATTTCCTTTCCCAGACCTTCACTTCCTCGAGGGCATTGTGTGTCCCCAGGTGTTAACCTATTTTATACAATGCTAATGAAAGAAAGTAAAGGAACACTTATACCACCTCCCATTCCTTCCTTGCCTTCTGTCATCTAACATAAAGGAATAGTGAGAATCCCCATAAGACTATCAGCAGATTCGTCAGCAGAAACCTGCAGGCCAGAAGAGAGTGGTATGACATATTCAAAGTGCTAGGGAGAGGCACCTGGGTGGCTCAGTCATTAGGCATCTGCCTTCGGCTCAGGTCATGATCCCGGGGTTCTGGGATTGAGCCCCACATTGCGCACCCTGCTCAGCGGGAAGCCTGCCTCTCCCTCTCCCACTCCCCCTGCTTGTGTTCCCTCTCTCACTGTCTCTCTCTCTCTCTGTCAAATAAATAAATAAAATCTTTGAAAAACAAAAACAAAGTGCTAGGGGGAAAAAAACTGCCAACCAAGAATACTCTACCCCACAAAGTTGTCCTTTGGGAAAGACAAAGAGTTTTACAGACAAAAAAAAGGTGAAAGGAGTTCATCACACTAGATTGGCCTTATAAGAAATGTTAATGGGAGTTCAAGCTAAAATGAAAGGATGCTAATTAGTAACATGAAAACAAATGAAAGTATAAATCTCACTGACAGAGGTAAATATATACTTAAATTCAGGACACTCTATTATAGTAATGGTGGTAGGTAAATCATATAGAACTCTCAAATAAAGGTTAAAAGACAAAAGTATTAAAAATAACTATAACCAGCCAAACTATGGAAAGAGCCAAGATGTCCAATCAACAGACGAATGGATAAAGAAGATGTGGTATATATATACAATGAAATATATGCAGCCATCAAAAAAAATGAAATCTTGCCATTTGCAAC